GAGTACCACAACTTATACCCATCCACGTTTTTCGCCCTCGATCCAACCCACCTAGTCTCCTGGACACACGCTATATTAATCTTCCTCTTTTACAGGATTTTCGCCAACTCTATGGATTTACTCGTTAGTGAATCTATGTTCCATGACCCGATTCTCAACCTATAGGCTCCCTTGCCCCCCTCTACCTCCCCTGCTACCCGACCCACCCCCTAACCCCAGCCCCACACTCTGCCCTACCCGAGGNCTGTACTCGATGTAGTTGTACGCTCGCGCACCACTTTCTACCGCTCTTTGCTGACACTCGCCCAGGTTGCTTTCTTTTGCCAGTGCTCGTGCGCCCAACTTGTCTCCAATACTCTGAGAATTCCTGAAAACACAGAAAATAACACGACCCAAAGTTATATAGAAAAGTAACTACTTCTTTTTTATAGTGTAACATGTTTTTGAGTCCAAAAAGTTTGACATTTAAGTTTCGGACTCGTTCTATGCAACTAACACAACTTTCAAAAAATTAGAATCATTAAACTGCCAAATTTTGACATTGACGTAATATTTTCAATCACAGCTTTAATTCCATGTCCAATCGAATACTATCACATAGGATGAAACGGTGAGTGTTATTAATTTCAAAACGTTTAAACTTATTTCAAGCCATCATAATTTATCCTTCATTTTATATTATATATTCCTATACTCTTCATAAATTTCTCTTTCCATTTTATCCTCTCTCTTTTTTTAATGTAATCAACCATGTACTTCATCTTTCTACTTTTTCTGAGAGATGTTAGAAACTTACTATTTCAGCATAATGACATTGTTTGTTCAAGTGTTTACATTTTGCGTTTGTGGAGAGAAATTGGTAATAAAGCTGGTTATCCCAAAGGAAATTTTTTAGCACAACGTTTAGACAATTGAAAGTAGATGCTTTTCAAAAATAAATTAAGGGCAATCATTTTCTTGTAAACCTATTAATTCTACATCTATAATATAACAATTTCCTTCAACGAAAAATATGCATTACATTATCACAACAGTACCAAAATAGTAGAAACGCACAGCAGTTTTACTTAATTTGAGAGTTATTTATTTCTAAAAGACCAACATAAAATTGGATAGATAATAGACTTTGATTTTAAGGAAGAAATTAAGTGGACGTTCCCGTAAAAAAAGTGAGATTTAAAAAAAAAGTAGTTCTTGATATTAAGATGAAAAAAAATATTAAAATTAACTTGTGTTTGAACATACATTTTGCTAAAAACAATTGCAAGTTTGTGAGTAGAAGATACAGTTTACTTTTTTATAAACATTGTTTAGGAGTCAAATAGTTTTGTGGGCCTTTACAAGCTTGTTTTTTAGTTTTATGATCCTATTTCTTTTTTTAGGGTAAAATTTAAAAATAGCCAGATTTACAACTGATCGTTCAAAAATAGCTCAATTTCAAAAGTAATCGAAATTTAGCCACTTTTCATGTAAAGATAAATCTGAGCAAAAACACTATTTAAAACCGGAAAATACGCTAGTATATTATGCTGGAGTTCCAGCATAAGTATACTTGAACTCCAGCATATTATACTGGAGTTCCAAGATAAGTATGCTGGAACTTCAGCATAATATGATGGAGTTCCATCATAAGTACACTAGAACTCCAGCATAATATACTGGAATTCCAGCAAGTATACCGGTCCAGCATAATATATTGAAGTTTGGAGCACCGGTGCTCCAGTCTTCAGTATATTATACTGGAGCCAGCAAAGTATACCGGTCCAGCATATTTATGCTAGAGTTCATACACAAGTGCACCGAACTTAAGTATATTTTGTTGGACCGGTCTGTACTGCAGCAAAGCTATTTTTTATTGACTTGGTAAACGCATGCTATTTTTAAATGATCAGTCCAAAAACTGGCTATACCGTACTATTTTTACCTTTTTTTTAGATATGTAAGATTTACTTTTACTCACCAGACATCTATCTTTTAGACATAAAAAAGATCAAAAATGACTCTTAATTTCAACATTGCACAGGACCATCAAATGTACAACTATGGCTTTAATACCAATAAATAATTTCTTACTTCTTAGTCTAAAGGTTGTTTGCTCTTCGTCCACACAAACTTATGAAAAATTAAGAGCCCGTTTGGCCATGAATTTTTTTATTTTTTACGAAATTAATACTTAACCATAAAATTTTCAAATTTCAGTTGAAAATAAATTTTAAAATTATTCAAAAAGTTATTTTTTCAAAACTATCATTCAAATCACCTACAAAAATAACCTAAAATTATATTCCTATCCAAACACAACTCTAATATTCAAATACCATTTTCACTTCAAATTTTTTTCACTATTTTCTAGAATTTTGCAATTCTTATGTCCAAACGATCACTAAACCCCTCATTTTCACTTTCCAGTGGTGCTAAACAAAGAAATAGAGATGAAACGTGTTTAGAGATTGAGGTGCTAAACAAAGAAATAGACATGAAGTTTTTTGAGGGTCACCTCACATTCATACTCGAAGCCATGACAAAGAGTATTCTACTACTACTTAGGGCTATTACAACATTGGAGTCGAGAGTCACTAAACTAAGAAACAAGACTCTTAAAACATACAACACACTAACAAAGAACCTAAGATTCTAAGACATTAAGACATGATCCGATGTTTCCATTTCACCCCAGATCAAAAACTCGAGCACCAGGGAGAAAATGAAAACACTGGCCAACCCATATTTCATCACTACTTACATACTAAAACCCTAATAATCTTTAGGAAGACGGACTGGGAGAAACTGAAGAACCAGCTAGTTTGCCGATAGCCACTGGATTTGTCAAGCTAGTTGAACCATTCCTTGGGGGAGAGAAAACAACTGGAAGATATTCATCTGTGTCGCAGATAAATTTCGATGTTGAGAAATGCTTCACCAATTCTTCTTTCCCCTGAAATTAAAACAAGTACCATTACAGCACAGAAAGCAATCACCATCATACATAAATAATGTTCCTATATATAAAGTAAAGCTTGTATGAATCGCATTGCTATTTCTTGCTTAAAATGCTCAATGTGAAATTCCACAAATTTATCAGTTGTCCTAGTCACTGTTCCTGAGCAAAGGGTCTACCGGAAACAACCTTCTACCTTCTTAAGATAAAGGTAAGGTATGCGTACACATTACACTACTCAGACTCCACTAATGAAATCCCACTAGGTTTTTTGTTGTTGTTGATTTCGAATTTTATTTCATAATCCCATAATCTCTCATTAATCTCAAACGGAAGAAAATGGATAAGCAATAGATGTTATATTATAATAGTAGTATAGAACACAATTTAACCGGAAACTAAAAAACTTGTTTCCAAATGATTTGACCAAATCCTAAACAGTTAGGTTTAGGACTGTTGGTCTAATACCTACCAAATTGATGAAAATCTTTTCAAGTTACAACAAAGGTGATAATGTAGCCTTTTCTTTTTCTTTCTTTTATTCTTTGAAGAAGGATTTGTAGTGGTGTTTTGGACACTTGATCCAACTTAACAAGTCAAATTTACAATTTATTTACAAACATACATGAAGAAACACTGCATAAATATTAGCACAAGATCAAGAGAACCAGAAATCAGCTCAAGTATTCATAGAACCTTTTACCAAACATAATGCAGTTTGTGTTAAAAGAGAGCAAGAAATGTAATTAAGTTCTCATTATTACCTGAATCCGAGCCCAAGTAACTTCACAGATTTTTTTCGAGGCAAAAATTCCCATGGGAGTCTTAATACCATCCCACTTGAAGTTCTTGAGTACTTCCCCAATTCCAGAAGCAGCAAACCTTGTTGTAAAATTGACAAAAGCATAGCCCAAATTGTTCTCGGTCCTGCATTATTAATATAAAAACAAAGAATAGAGACCTAAAGAGTGAGAGATCATAAACAAAGAAAACAATGAATCTTTTAAGGAGTTAACTTAATAGTATGTGCTGACATTATATTTTAACTCCTCATGGTAACTTAATAGTACTCTAAATTAATCTTTTTATCACAAGTGTATGGCAACTAAAAATATAACATCAAAGACATTAATAAATAGTATTAGTAGCTAGTATTACCCGAAATCTATTGGCAGATAGAGGAAATCATACTCCCAATGATTCTCACGGCAGAAATGATCAATAAAACGCATGAATGGCTCTCGGCTATTTAAATCCATAACAAAAAAGTATATACTGTCAGAAACAGGCAGATTCATAAATGCATATAACCAAAAAAACTCCATTAATATTGGAATGAGGCATTAATGGACAATAAAAATGCATTTAATAGCTGATCATGAATAATAAGTGCATGCAAGACCACAGTAACTGTACATCGGAATAGGAATAGACAGTAAAATTAAAGCCTGAATTAAAAGCCTAACTTTTTTATCGCCTTTTCAGTGACTGAACACTAAAGGGTCAGATAAACTAATACTCCTACCTAAAATGGGACTGAAACTCAACATACCAAAATCACCTTGTTCATTAATATTAGAGCAAGATTATTCATTAACAAGTAAATATGCAAAATGTATACTAATACAAGGGGAAAAACAAAAGTGACCCCATCATAGTATTCTGCAACAAAACCTCATTTTCCACATGCAAAAAGTGATATGATATGAAAATGTTAGTAAACAAAAAAGGAGAATGATAAGATGAAAAACAAGAAGATAAAATAGACAGACCTAAACTGGTTAGGGATGTTACGGATCATAACGGTGGTTTTGTCACAGGAAAAAGAAGGATTTTCCTTAGGAGCTGGAGATTTGTAAACCCCGTCAGTATTATTACGGCGTTTTTTCATCCCAAAACGCCCTCTTTCAGTTTCAGCAGCCCTCAGCCTTGGCGGCAAAAAGGGTTGTTTTTGGCCTCTTTTGTGATCAGCTCGTGGCCTAAAAAACGAAGCCCTAGTCCCATTTTTCATGCCAACAGCAGTAAACATTTCTTTGGCCAAACAAGAATCTTCCGGTGGCTGAAAATCAACATGACATGTATAAAACCAATAAAAGGGAGCTTTGATAAGAGGAGAAGGAACATGTTGTTGGTAGAAGAAGAAGTGAGGAGAAGATGGTTGTGGCTGAGAGGTTGCTGGATTATACACAACTAGCTCATTTTTACCTTGTGGTGGTGGTGGATGGTAAATCTCATGAGGAGGGTAACAAAGCACTAGGTTTTTCTCTGGTTTCCACTCATTAGCTTTTGGGTTGAGTTTTGTTTTCGTACAGCTAACTGCCATTGAAGGATCAGAGAGCTTTTTCTTTAAGGGTTAAAAGATAGATACACCTCCCAACTTCTGAGTACTAGACTATATATTTAGTTGAAGTTAATTAGTGAACTAACAAAATGACACGTTATGTTATACACACATGATTTGGGGGTGAGATAGAGAGACGATCTATCATCTAAAAAAGGGTTATCCTCGTTCGGTTGACGCGGTAAAAATACAAATCTTCCGATAAACTATTAAATTATAGTACTATTTAATTACAACGACAACAACCACTAAGTGGAATCTCGAGACTATATCCCTATCCTGAGAAGGTAATAATGCGTTTTCGAAAGATTTTCGGCTCACGAGAAATAATAAAAATAAATAAATATCAATAAAAAACTAGAAAAATAAAACCAATAACATATAAATCGGCCGAAAAAAGATGGAAGAAAGCAATAATAATAGCAATAGTAATAGGCAAGCAGAAACAATGACAAGGTACTAAAAAATCGAAGCACAAGATATTACAGTAATAAAAACCACCCTAATACTAGCAATCTAAGAAACAACGACAAAGTATTAGCAGGCTAGCCCTAATAAACCCGAAACGGTTCAGAAAACATGTCATGACATATTAATCTTTCACCCTAATCTTCGACCTCCAAATTCTCCTATCAAGAACAATGTCATCGGTAAGTTCAAGTCACATCATATCCTGTCTGATCACATTTTCCAGTACTTCTTAGGTCTTCCTCTACCTCTCCTCCTACTTGCGAGTGCCAATAGTTCACACCTTATCATTGGGGCATTAATGCTTCTCCGCTTTACATGCCTGAACCATAAGTGTTAGTTTCGTGCATCTTATCCTCCGTGAGGTTACGCCCATTATATTTAATTAAAACTATATTTAATTATGGGTATTAATTGATGGTGAGATAATTTTATATTTAAAATAATGATATTAATTATTTTATATACAAAATAGAATAATTAGTTTCGTAGAATAACTCAGCCCAAAGGTAATGATAACATTAGCTATCCTATATGAAATGTAGGATGCAGATCCTCGAGTAATAGACCCCTTAGACGATTATACAAGTTGAAGGAATAACAAGAAAATGCCACATACGTTTAACTATATGTACAGAGAGAGTGTAACTTGGGGATAGGAGATACAGAGAGAAGATCTAGTCATGCTTTTTGCTAAAAGTTATGAGTACTAGCTAGTTCATATATAGGGTGATGGAAACCGGATACCTATGGTGGTTTGAATCAAAATCTGGACAAATTTAAGATTATAATTTTAGGATAATTGTCCGAAATATAACATAGTTCTTCGATCTTTGTTACTTGGTTATTATTTCGTTCCCTTAATTTAATTTCTCTTATAAAATAAAGACCGTAAAGTAAAAATAAGTATAGAGAGAAACTATTATATTATTCGAATTCAAACTGATGTACATAATGAACAGAAATCTCTTCTATTTATAGAAGAAAGAAAGTTGTTGTGTAAACTGCTACTATACCATATATGGATAATCTTTTTACTGAGAGCAATGTTTATCCATAACGGAGTACTGAAAGGATAAGCTTATTATACCCGATATGAATAATCTTCTACCGGGGGTAATGTTTATCCATAACTGGGTAATGAAAGGATAAGCTTATTATACTCGGTATGGATAATCTTCTACCGGGGATAATATTTATCCATAACCGGGTACCGAAGTGATAAGCTTCTTCAGGAAGCTTATTTCCAATATAGTACTAAATAGATAAACATATTTACGGTGGAGTCCCATATGGACAAGCTTCTTCAAGAAGCTTATTTACAACGGAGTACTAAATGAACATCCAAAATATAATATATTTATAACACTCCCCCTTAGATGTTCATTAAAAGATAATGTGCCTCATTAAAACCTTATTAGGAAAAATCACGTGGGAAAAAATCCCAGTGAAAGAAAAAGAGTACACATATTTAGTAAGACGCATTGCTAGGTGCCTCATTAAAAACCTTATAAGGAAAACCCCATGGGGAAAAACCTTAGTAAGAGAAAAAGAGTGCATCGCGTATTTTACTCCCCCTGATGAAAACCTTGTTTCAAATATTTGAGTCTCCGCATTCCAATCTTGTATACCATCTTCTCAAAAGTTGAAGTTGGCAAAGATTTAGTGAATAAATCTGCTGGATTATCACTTGAACGGATTTGTTGCACATCAATGTCACCACTTTTCTGAAGATCGTGTGTGTAGAATAATTTTGGTGAAATGTGCTTCGTTCTATCTCCTTTTATAAATCCTCCCTTCAATTGGGCTATGTATGCAGCATTGTCTTCGTATAAAATTGTGGGTCTTTTCTCACATTCCAAACCACATTTTTCTCGAATAAAATGAATTATTGATCTCAACCATACGCATTTCCTACTTGCTTCATGAATAGCTATTATCTCAGCGTGATTTGAAGAAGTGGCAACAATAGATAGCTTTGTGGAGCGTCATGATATGATAGTACCTTCATATGTAAATACGTAGCCAGTTTGAGATCGAGTTTTATGGGGATCAGATAAATAACCTGCATCTGCATAACCAACAAGGTCTGCACTATCTTTGTTAGCATAAAACAAACCCATATCAAGAGTTCCCTTTAAATATCGCAATATATGCTTAATC